AGAGGGAGTGAATATGTTCACGATATATTGTATGAAATTTTCAAAGAATCAGTAAAAACATTGTGGAAACATTTGACAGCTTCATACGTGAACATAATGGGTTTTGGTTGTGCCCAGCCTTCCCTTAGCCTTCCTCCTCCTCTCAGACTCCTGAAAAGGGTCTTCTAAACAATTCCCACTTTCATGTCTTTGTGTGTGTGTGTGTGGGGGGGGGTGGGAGACCCACTGAGTGCAACCACAGTAGTTGGAATGAGCATCATTGGGGGTGCAATTACTAGAACAGGTGTCTTGTCAGGAGCTACCCCACTGAAGAGCACAACACATCCTCTCCCAGCATCCATTGACTTCCCAGGGTCCCTTCAAGGAGAGTGTGGGGCGTCATTTGCCCCTCCCATGTGCACGATGAAACGGGTGATGGGTCCAATCCTGAGTAGGTCACAAATTCACGCATGCTACGTCATGCTGCATCCAGAAGACAGTTTCCCGGCACTCCTCCCCATCCTCTGGCTGCTCCATTCTTGACAGCTTGTTCGGAGGTTCTACTAGGGGAACACAGCTGCTCACGTGCCTTTGTCTGAAGACTGTCTTTCTTTTCTATTGCTGTGAAGAGACACCATGACCAAGGCAATGTATAAAACAAAGTATTTAACTTGGGGGCTCACTGTTCCAGAAGGCTGTGGAGTCCAAGACCATGAGGCAGGGAGCAGGGAGCAGTAGCTGAGAGCTTGCACATTGAGCAAGCCAACACAGGCAGAGAGAGGGGGAGGATGGCAAGGAGGGAGGAGAGAGACCTGACAGATAATGGCGTGGGCTTTTTAAACCTCAAAGTCCACCCCCAGGGACGGACCTCTTAATCCTTCCCTAATAGGTCCACCCACTAGGAACCAAGCATCCAAATTTATGAGCCTATGGAAGCCATTCTCTTTCAAATCACCACACTGACCATTTATTCCAGAAAGGTTGTCTTCTAGCAAGAGTACCCCTTAAAGAGGGGCCCATAGGGAGCTGCGGAGGAGGAAGGTGACACTGTTCTAGCCAACCAGATCAGCCGAATAAACCCTGGCAACCCAGGAGGTGGCGGATGTCAAAACCAGGTGGCCCTCACATCCATGGCTCCTCCATCCCCTCTGTCCCCTTTTCCTTAATTTTCCTTGAGCCTTGGAGGGGTCAGATAGCTGTCCTGTTCCGGGCCAGGCACTCCACTGTCATTTCTTCTCAGTACTCTGACCAGTTGTTTCTACAGAACATTGTTCGGGAGTCTTTATTTTAGGGATGGGCACCCACAACACCATGTGGGGTGTTTTATGACAGAGCTTCTGTCCATTTTTGTCTATAAAAGGTGACATTCTTTTTTGTCTTTTCCATCTCATTAGGGACTGTCTGTTAGGCACATTTTAACTTCCCCCTTAACTATAGGGAGGGGGTGGGTGGGAAGGAGCTGAGAGGGGTAGGGAGGGGAGCTGGACTTCTCTGAGCACACTTTCTGGTGTACTTTTGCCTTTGGGGCTTTATCCGCATCATGCTATCAAGGAATGTACTACAAAGAAAAGAAGGCCAGGGAAGAGAAAACCTAACAGGCAATTCTAATACCAAACAAACTTAAACCCCACTGAATACCAACAGCACATTCAGAAGAAACAGAAAGAACTCAGAAGCAGACATAGAGATGGCAAAAGCACCAGGTGTGGTGGCTCACGCCTTTAACCCCAGCACTCAGGAGGCAGAGGCAGATGGACTTCTGTGAGTTCGAGGCCAGCCTGGGCTACAGAGTGAGTTCCAGGCTCCAAAGCTACACAGAGAAACCCTGTCTTGAAAAACAACAACAACAGAGCCTGTAAAGGCAGCTGCGGTTTGTAGTGTACTTCCAAAATCGTATGGAGCGCGTGAGTCAGTTCGGTGATGTGGAAACCAGGGTTCTCTAGTTGCTAGCAGGAGACACAAGAGGAACCATGTGGCACTGCTTTGGAATTACAAGTCTCTCTCCATCAATTCAGGAGTTGCCAAGAACCTTTTCCTGGCTGGGCATGGGGCTGTGCACCTTTAATCCCAGCACAAGGGAGACAGAGGCAGGAGCATCTCTTGAGTTCAAGGTTAGACTGGTCTACTTATGGAATTCCTGGACAGCCAGGGCTACATAGACTCTGCCTCAAATGATTAAAAAAACAAACAAACAACAACAAAAAACCGCACCAAAACCAAAAACCCTCCACTTTTCTCCTCAGTTCTGTCCATTACATGATTCTGACAGGCAGTATGTTAGATGCTATTGCTACCGTGTTAAAAGGGCCACCCTGACAACTATCATATCCTAGGGCAACTGGAGGGTGTGAGATTAGAAAGTACTTTATAAATTTCTGCTTGGGCTTTCCATGCGCTAGCCTACCTCAGTTACTAGTATTCTGCCCCCAGTTCTAGAAGTCTTCAGTGTCGGGGGTGGTGGTGGTGTGGAATTCTAGCTTTTGCCTTAGTTTTAGGAACCCATGCATTTTTCTTGCTCCTACTGTTTCTTTTCTTTTCTTTTTTGAAACAGGGTCTACTACATAGTTCTGGCTGTCCTGGAACTCCTTATGTAGACCAGGCTGGCCTTGAACTCACAGAGGCTCACCTGCAAGTGCTGAGATCCCAAGTACAAAGGCTGAGATTCAAGGTGTGGCACTACCTTTAATTAAAGGCACCATGGTTCATGCTTCTTTAGGGTTCATCGTGGAGGACCCAGCCAACTGCCTGAGCTAGTCAGCCATCTTGGTAGAAATCCCTTAGTTTCTTCAGGGGTAAGTTGGGGACAATGGTTTCCTGAGATGTATAGCTGGATGTGGTAGTGCATGCCAGTAGGCCTGGCATTCTGGAGGATGAGGCAGAAGACTGTTGTGAGTTCAAGCCCAGCTGGGGCTACAGAATGAGTACCAGGCCAACTATAGTTACAGAGAAAGGTCCTCTCGAATCCCACTCCTCCCCTGGGGGACGGGGGGGAGGGGGGGAAGGGGGGGGGGAGAGGGAAGCTTTGTGTAGATTCCGTCCTCCAGATCGGATGCTGGGATGTAGCTGCCCACGGATAGCCCAAGCCCTACTCTGCAGAGAGTGGATTCCTGTGGAAGCAAAACTTTAGAATCCAAATTAATTCCCAGAGTCGGACTAGTGTTCTGGAGCAAATTTGCTCCTCAGGGAAATGGGATCGAAGTGAAGTCCCAACAACGGTGTGCAACCCAAACCAACTCATCTACAAATCTCTTTTTACATAAATGCAACCCTTGAATCACAAAACATAGGAGGAAAGGCTGAGGAACGTTTCCAAAAATCCATCTCCACTACCAACAGCTCCAGAGTCCACAACCTTTCGGGGTGAGTCTTCACTTAGGGGCTTTCCTGGGGTGGAGGGGTTTCTTGTAAATGTTTGCCAACCACAAACAAGTTACTTCACCATGTCACTGACGGGAAATGAGAAATTGCTCTGAGAACAGTTGGTCCTCCAGGGAAAGAGCTGTAAAGGCTCCTAGAGTTGACAGGGTCATCCTTTCAGGGTCAGGGGACAGAGTAGTGAGTGACCGACCCTTCCCAAAGGTGAGCACTAATCAGGTAGACACAGTGAACGGGGAGGTAGAAGTCGCAGGCTGGACAACCCCTGGGTAAGCATCACCAGAACCGGAGTGGTGGTGTAACTAAGCCAGGGCTGGACAGAGAATGCCTGAGCAGGAATCCCTGAGAGACCAGGTTTCCCAGGGAGGACCCACACAGAGTGGGTGCTGCCTATGGGAGAGGTCCTGTGCTCTTCTGCTGCCGAGCGCACTAAACGGGCTCAGCGGTTTTCACTTGGGGAAATTTACACACGGAGCTCGGTGAGATGGGTCTGCGGGACTCTGTCGCCACCCCTGAAGGGTTACCGCTGATGGGGCGGAGCTGGAGCCTGAGTAAAGGAGTAAAAGAGTAAAGGAGAGCTAGGGAGCAGCTTGAAGTGGAGGAGCGACCCAGCTCCCCGAGAATCCTGGACCACAAGCTGGCCAGTCACCTCCTCTGGCTCAGCATCAGGGAGGGCGTCCCTAACGTTCCCGTCTTGGGCTCAGCAGGTCCCTCCGGTTTCTATGCCAGGCACTTGCTTGTTTTCATCTTTCTCTGCTGCTGGAGAAATGGAAATGGAGGGCGCTGTGTGGAGTGCTTCATGGTGCCGAATAAATGCATGTGGAACTGATGTTATGTGGAAGTTTTATCTTGGCCCTGAACCAGGGGAAAAATTGGGGGTGGAAAGCTAATATATCAGTGGGAAGGCTGGGAGGGAGTGTCAGTCAGAAGGGAGAGCAAAGGTGGGCCCACAAAAAAAATCTAGCTTGTGTTTTAGTCAAAAAGACACAAAAGGCACTTGGGAGGCAGAGCCAGGTGGATCTCTATGAGTTTGAGGCCAGCCTGGGCTACAGAGTGAGTTCCAGGAAAGGTGAAAAGCTACACAGAGAAACCCTGTCTCTAAAAACCAAGGGGGGAAAAAAGGACACAAAAGGACAGTGTCCCAGCCAAGGACCTCAGGAAAGGGGCCCAAGGCCTTCTCTAAGCACAGAGGCTACAGAGCTGGAAGGGCAGAATCTTTTTCTCTTTTCTTTCTTTCTTTCTTTCTTTTTCTTTCTTTCTTTCTTTCTTTCTTTCTTTCTTTCTTTCTTTCTTTCTTTCTTTCTTTCTTTCTTTCTTTCTTTCTTTCTTTCTTTCTTTCTTTCTT